TGGCGGGCGCGGTCAATATGGAATCATATGTGCAACAAAGAAAACTAACATTTCTCAAGATAGTCCAAGTAGGCTAACAGTTGGGCCGGTGGTTTCTGGTCTTGGGCGAGTTTTAGGCTAGCATCCCCGCCAATGGACTGAAGGCTCAGTTGAATGTTCTTGCCCACAGACAGCAGCCATCTCGCACAAAGGGTACATGCTTCTAGAGGAAGAAGCGTCTTTGCACAATTGTTTTGTTTGCTGTGAATTGCTGCGTGCAGGTCATGCTCGCCTTTTTCGTGTAACAGGGACACGATTCTACAAAATTGCAATAAACAATGAGTAAACAGCGACTCAAACAGCTGGGTTACCGGGTAGAAAAATTCATACCTAGGACACGGTGGACTTTAAGCAGGAGTGCCGACAGCCAAACTTAACGAATAAGCAGGCTTCTCTTCTACAGTACAGGTGATTGACCAAAAAGGACTGGTTGTACTATACGGTCCCCAAGCAAATAAAAACAATGACCGAGACTGACATTGAATACCCATGGATGACTCTTATTTAGTAAAGAATATGAACAACCAAATTCTACGCGTTAGAAGGATGGAGATTTGTTAACTGTACCATAATGAGAACACACAGATACAAGTCATGCAGGATAAGCAGAACTCAAAAATTCAACTCGATTGGGTGGGGGACAGTAGACTGAGGGTTACTGTTGAGTATCGTACCGGCCGCCGGTATGTATTTGCACTCAGAAGACGGGGAGTAGTTGAGGCTTAACCGGCGTCCGCGTTGGCGGAAAGGCTGACCGCGGAATAAGAAGGCACCTGAGCCGAAAACATAAGCAGTCGAGGGCTATCGATTGTCACTCTTTGAAAGTTCACCGACCGCTAACGGAATCTACATGTCCCGCTTTGCCCTGTCTTGGGCCTCATTTCAGCCATAGCAGCTAATATGATAGGCAGATATTATTTCCGGTAAAGACAAGGGAGACTGGAATGGTCACTTCTGTGTTTATACAACACAATCTATGCGCTCAAAACATATCAGCCGTCTGAAAGTAGTCGGCTACCTGGGCTTGCCTTTGAAGATGCCATTATAGTCGAGTAGACAACACAATCGACAAGAAACAATCCGTCAAGTCCTTAGATGGCTAGGCCAACCTTCGGTGGGTAAGAATTCGCTGGGCGCTTCATGTCACTTTAATTCGACTGACAACGAGTTGATGAAATAAGCTTACAAAACGGAACCGGTAGACTTTTCCACGATGACGCCTGTCATAGTTATAGGTAGCTAACGAAATT